TTTCATTATTTGATGTTCCCAATGTCTGAATAACTTCACGAGCTGACTAAATTTCCACTTAATTCAAATCTAACTCTATATTGCTTGTCTTCTTAGTCACAGAAATGTTCAGCTTTCATTAGAGTACTTATCACTTAGTGAAATCTGATTAGACTTTGTTGTAAATTGAAAATAAATATTGAAACATTTGGTGTTTGTCATTCTCTTCGGGATTTTCGATGCCTCCGAAGGCATCATAAGGGTGGTGGCGTGCATGTTCAATCTAGCACTCGAGGCCCTATCAATGCATCAAGTCAATGTTTCAATGCTCTCAAGCAAGCCTGGTATGAATTTGTCAGCTCTGCTTGACTACAGCTTTGGGTTACCTGGGGCTCTTCGGGCCGATTTGAAGACTTGAGGTCGACTCAACGAAAGAGTGTGTTGCATGCCATCACTAACCACTGAGCTACAAGCGCGCCTAATCTCAGTATACAATGTACATGTATCAAAATTCCTTGGATATGATTATTTTCGAGTCTTTCCTTATCACAGAACTTTCACACACATAGCTATTCGCTGGCTGCAGTTCGTATAAAATAGCGTTCGTAATCAGATAGGCGGATAGAGTTAGAGGCAGCACATCGGCTGGCGCTTCCGCCGGCAGTGCCTCTCCGCTCTCCACGTCCGGCAGTGAGTGCAGTGCATTCAGCATTCACTCGTCGTCCTCGTCCGGTCGTCTCCGCCAGTCGCCAAGCACTCTGACCTCAGTGATCGCTGCCGCAGACTGCTCTGTTCGTTCCCTACTCAAATATTACCGAGCGGCTCCCTTTTATGGACTACACAACAGAGGTCGTTGCGTCAAGCACACAATTCGTCATGGCACACATAAACCCACGGATTTCTACATCTATGGAATGAATATTGAATCATTCGCCGTAATAGCTCAGATTTTTGCATTTCCTCTAGACTGTAATCTTTATGACAGCTCAGGCGCTAACATCTTTTCGATAAAAAGTAATTTCATTCCCTTTTATTACCATCGTTCAAAGTGTGCATAGCCATCTGATACGTATATTTTTATCCAGTATCTAATGCCAGTCTCATTTTCGCTTAGTTCTTTCCTTACAGTTAGTAACAACTCCTTTTTGATGTGTGTAATATACAGATGCCGACGGGATATCGCAGTGCTTGGTGATGCACTTTACCAGGAACCAAGTTTTGGTGATCCGATCCCCTCCTCCAACAATCCATTACTCTCTTGTAATCACTCAATTGGGAACGCCATAGCTCTGCCATTTTTAGAATTACAAGAAAAATTGTCTCAATCAGATTTATACGGCATTCATAAAGAAGGAGAAATTCTCAAGCAGCGGTCGAAACAACACTTGAGGTATCAGAAGACCTTCATGGGAGGATGGATGCGAGGAAGAGTCGATTGCAAGAATTGCTGGGATCCGCCCAGTTAACTGCAATGACGGGTCGTATTAGAAGTATGCAGTTATTTACAGCTTTTTTGATGAAGAAGATAAGTAAGGAGACAATATCGAGATTTCTTTTTGAACGAATCTACTCTTGGCCCAATCGTTAGCAATATAGTCGGTACAACAATGAACAGCGGTACATCGTAGAACCAAAAACACTCCATAATGAAGATTGATCACTCAACAACCATGAGGATTCACGACGACTTTTTTGCTGACGATAATGGCCATCTGAAGAGATTGAGTGGAACACATCATTAGGCATCGGACAGAGAGCTTGAAGATGAACAAGATACTAGGCAGAAGTTCAAAGGCTATCTCGAAACGTCAGTACAAGTGGAAGACAGCAAACATCGATGAATGAATGGTGCTTAATTTCGGAAATGGCAAGGAGATGGTCGTTATGAAGAAGTACATTCTATGCTTCTTTTTTATAGAATGAAGACGCTGTTTTGTAACAGCATCGTGAAATATGATGTAAAGTTGTTTTTCTATGTCAACCGATAACATCTAAGCAAATGTTCAATGAAGAGGACAAATCTAAATGGCACATTTTTACTCCTACCTCCTTACTCAGATGCAGACTATCCGTTTTCACGTATTATGTGTGTCCCAGCACTTCTTTAGTTTGTCTGTTGTCCCGTAGCCGACATCCGCAACAGTGCCTGAGCTTTTACCGTGGCTTCTGTTCTCAATTGCGAGTTCTATTATCTTCTGCATTAATATGATAAGCGGTGATGGAATGTGATTTCCATGAAAATCCTAGGCAGCCTTGCTTGAGAGTTCTTTAGAATCGTCGTCATAGGCAGCTGCTGGCTTTTGTGGACCAGACAGACATCTGCTGCCTTACGATTTAGCAAAGTCCACTTAGAACTGCAGTATCTACGCTTAGTAAAAATCGAGCTATTCTGTTCAAAACTGCGACATTTTCACAAACAATATTTAATTGAACGAGCTAAAGGATAAAACTTCATATTGCCCTCCTTACTAGTGTTATCAGCAATGAGTTCGAGCTTTCTCAAGCAACTGGACAATTCTTCTAGTAATGAAGCATCCGCTAGTGGATAGCAAGGGAAAAAACCTTTGAGATCCCTATTTGATCCAAATTTTTACGCATATGCTATGAAGTTTATATAGCTTTCATGTTTGACAAAGTTGTGATCCATACTTTGATGGAAAACAATATTTCAATTTCCCCGCCGAAAGTTGAAGATTCGTATTGGACAACATGCATTATTTTCTTCTTCTGATGGGTGCTTGTTCAAAACAGTTTCTGCGATCTATAGGCACTTGTAGTGCTGATGAGTTTTCGCTGTGGATTAAAGCAAATCTCTCCGTAGTCGGATGACTGTGATGCTCGACGCAGCGTGAGGTCGATCCCACCCAAAGATATTCTTCCAAAAATAGGCGACATGAAAATATCTTGCTTACATACTTACTTGGACGATCCATCTTCACGATTTGTGCGAACCTCAGCACAGGGATACTGTGCTAATTAAACTGTTTTGCTCTTTGGAGTTCTGAGATAAGCCTAGGTGGGGCTTAGTGAGGTCGTCAGCACTTAGCGCAGTAGCCAGCCTTTGTAAATCAGAGACAAACTACCACCTTTCGACTAGTAGCTACTAATGCAGCGATCACTCCTGGTTCTCTTTATTCTTTGCTGGGCTTTCCGAGTGGAAACATTATTGGATAATTTTTAAAAATTATTCACGTTAACCACTGTATTACTAGCTCAATTTTACTCGGTGAAGTTGGTGAGCACTACCTATAATAGCTGTCATCTACTATTGTCATTATATTTTGTTTCAACTCATAGGAATAGGCTGCGTTGTATTTTAATGGAGTTTTATTTCGATACTACGACAAATATTTGTATGGTTTTCTCCTCATATCTTCAACTTCTTTTAACACATCCATACTAATATTCCACTGAATGATGCTGTTCATTCCAGATTATCATGCGTTAAATTGAATAATAGACTTTTTGAAAACATATTGAAAGCCTTTCATGAGGTTCTCTGATATGGCACTTCAAGTGCTAGACGTACGTTTTGGCTTACATGTCAAGCCTTACCAGTAACACCGTGCCTTTCGGTCCAACCAAGCCCCTACATATAAGGGTACTGGCGACGAACATCGTACACTACACGCTACGTGAAAAGATCACTTGACATTGCAGTGACAGTCGCTTGCTCGATGACTGGTAAAACAAATATAGCTATATCTTTCTATTTCATGCTTTTGAGATCTCGCCTAACCCTTACGGGACCAGAGGCTAGGCACGCGGAGGTTGGGTCCATGGTCTCGTAAGGGTTGAAACATACAATTTGATTGCATACTTTAAGCCTTTCATGAGGTTTGGCTACAGACTTTTTGCTGCAAATTGAGGTGGCATATATTTTAGCAAAGTCCAAGCTTTCTACTTTTTTACTTTTTACTTACATGACCAGTCATCACATATTTTATTATGCGGATCAGAGTACTTCTGGCATTCAAATCGTTTTCGTCTTCTCCTTGGATGACGTAGAAAAAGTGATCGAGCGTGTCTCCTTGCAGTCTCGAGGATAGTCTGGCCATGGCGTTCCGTAGAGCGTTCTTATTGACTGCCGGAATATGTTGGGGGGGGGGGGGTGGGGCTCGGCTCCACGCGCGCCGCGACGAGCATCACAACCACTCGGCCATGGCGTTCCCCTACCTCACTTTCTTTCATTCTTTTTAACTTTCTACTTTACCTCCCCAAAAAGCTATATTTGTATGATTACGTACATAATCTATTCTCATTCAGGATTATCCTTCTTCTCTTTACATTATAGATTACTATAGAAGATGTTCATTATAATGGTCTCAACCAACCGCTTATTCCTCTGAAGAAATGTTTTATTTAATTTGAGGACCTGAGTGCAACGCAAAACTTTCGACACTCGGCGGGATTTGAACCCGAGTCCCCCTCATACTGGAGCACGTGCTACCACGACACCACCAAGACCACCGCTCTGCTACCACTGTTTCTTCGATATAAGGCATTCCAAGTAAACCACCCACCATCTTTGGGTATCCCTAGAGAGGAATTTATACCATAACACCGTCGTCGCGGCATTGCAAACTAAGCCGTTCAATTAATTTATCCAGGTGAAATCTCAGCCATTGCGCGTTTTTTGACGTCTACTCCATAAACTGCTTTGAATCCTCCTTTTTTTCTGGACTTTACCATCGTCATCGCTGGTCGGAAGCCGATATCCTCGTAAATATTTGCTAGCTTATACGCTTTAGAATAGTATTTATTCAAATATTTCCCCAACTTTTCATATGAAACGTTAAGAATAGATATTGATCGCTTACTCACAGTTCAATTATGGTCGATTTTGAGAGCGAAACCAAAAAAAATTCACTTCGATTTGCCAACAAAAAAGGCCATTTTAGCAGTTCTCAAGAACTCAACGATTTTTATTGTACTGCTGTTTAGTAACTAAGTACTACATTTGACGGCTGGTTGCTGACGGATCGATACCTGTGTCGTAGAAGAGTGAAAGCTGAATGAGAGCCTCGGTGGTGCAATCGGTTAGCGCGCGAAGCCCACAGGAAAAGGGTGGGATGCGGGTTCAATTCCCGCCTGACGCTTTGAATTTCGCACATCGTCAACATTACTCGATAATTACTACTGTTCTTTTTGACTCGTAAAAAAAAGGATTTGATAGTATTGGATTCGTTAACAATTTTATGATTGTTGTTAGTATTATGAATGCGCGGAGCGTTCCTCGTCCACCTCTTTTTCTGATTTTCAAAGGAACCTAGCTAATTTTCTCAAAAAACTCCAATAATGTATAATTTCGGCTTCATTTGATCCCTCTGTCATACTGGAGATTTTCTTCATATATACAGTTATAAGGGAAATATATTAGGGCAGTTTTTGTGGTAAATCTCGAGAGCAACTATCCATAAACTCGGCATTCTTCACTAATTCTTCGTTTTCCCTTCTTTTGATTTATCTTTCTTGTGTTTAGTCAAAAAGAAGAGAAAAAAAGCCAGGAATAAAAGGGCAGGGAAGTGCAAAATGACCGTTGTTGAAAGGAAACTGTAACGAAATTTTGATGGTGCAAAAGTAACCACGATTCAAGAGATTGTTTGAAAAACCGCAGTTACTTCTGCACCGGCCTAAACTTGTCTGCGAACAAATCCACCACATGCCAAGTTTCATCAACATCCATGTTCTATTTAAAGTTGTTCGATGGAAAATCCTAAATGGGATTTATTTAAGTTTAATATTCAACGGAGGACGCGCCCTGGCCAAGTGGTTGTGATGATCGTCGCGGCGCGCGTAGGAACCGAGCTCCACCCCGAATCCTCTCCGAGCAGTCAAGAACAACGCCTTGTGGGGCGCCACAGCCAGGCTATCTTCAAGATTGCTTGGAGAGTCGCTCAACCAGTGATCTAAGACGTTCAAGAAGAAGACGAATGAACGAATTGAATGCTAGAAGTACTAGGATCCGCACAGTGAAGATACTGTGAGAATGGACAATAAAGTGTCTAGAAAAAGTTTATCAAAGAAAAAAGCGGCAGTTTTTCTTTTGGAGTAAAGTTTTTTTTTTCCTTCATAGCGCTCACGAGTACAATTACCCAAGGTTGTGCTCATTCCAACATGCAAATGCTTCCGTTGAATATGCAGAGACCAGTGATTCATCTGTTTCCCTTTCTCTTCTCAACCAATCTCATGACTGTACGATTTGTTTTCGGAGATAGGGTGTAAAGTTATTCGTTTTCTTTTGTCATGATTCACAAAAGAGATATCAGTCATCTAGTCACCTTCCGGTAAATGTCTATTTATTCTAATAATGATCATCGGTGTCATTTCCTCAAGTACTTTTCATAGTTGCGAAAAAATTCCGAAAAGTATTAAAAAAAAAAGGCTTACACTGTGAACCTGCATCCATTTTACTGATCTTGCGGCATTACTCGAAAATGTTGCATTTTATCGGACTGAATTTTAAATACCTTGACAACTTTAATATTTATTTCTTCAGACTTTTTATTGAGCCTTCATAGTTCGGCGGTTTCGACCTGTCTCATCAATATCAACGCCCCATTCTGTGGAAATAAAAATAATTGAACAAATAAATAAATAAAAGTTTGCGGATATACATATATATATATATATATGATATATATATACTGAAGTTCTCGAGGTTTCTAGAAAAAAAAATCAGTCGAATAAAAGGCAGTTTATATGTTAACAGCCGCTAAGCATCGACTGAAAGAGGAACGGTACATCACGTAATATTTCGCTTGACAAGCACTGTGGCATCGTTTTCCCTCTGCTCTTGTATACTTCCTCTTCTAGTATGAACCACACGGTGTAATCTTATCGGGTTGAAATGCTGCAAGTTTGACGGCCAAATCCTTGCCCGTAAAAGCTTGTAAGTAGCTTTTGAAACATGGCAATCCTTGAACGGACGAAATGCGCAGGAGCCCGGTCTTGCTGAAGTATAAATCCGACGGCGCCAAAGTGTTGACTACCCCGAGTTTTTAGTACGCCCCATAGAACTTGCTTCTGAAAGCTGGTAGCATTGATTTTGACGTTTCTGTTGATGAAGATCAACGGCGTATTCCCAATAGCACGAATCGGCCCAGAGCTTCACCGAGGCCGAGTGCGCGATTTTGACTAGACGGGCAAAACCGTCGAAGCGTGCGTGTATCAATAAAATGCAATATCAGACCTCGTCAAAGGCTTAATAAAAAGTCTGTGGATATATTCGGAAATGGTCCTCTCTTTCTAGGACGAAACATTAGCGGAAGCTGACTGAATCTACTTTTCAGTCACATTTACGAAAATCGAGCCATCTTGCTCTGACTACTAACTCAGCTTCTGCGCCATGAAAATGGAAAAAGTTTTTCGCTTCGTCTTTTTAGGATAGTTTTACCATGAGCAACATTTTTCCCTTCTTGAAGTAACAATCTAAAATGTTTTACTGCTCTTTACTGGTCTTTAGAAAACCGATTCTTATAATGATGAGTTTCCTGGGTAAGGGATTATCTCCTATATATACCCAGTGATGTAGAGTGATGTGCAAAACTTTCGCATCAGGCGGGACTAGAACCCGCACCTCACTCTTTTCGGGAGCGCGTGCTCTATCCATTACACTACTGACGTCCAATTTGCACAGCACTCTTTCTACGCTATAGAGCATCTATCTGTCAGCTGCCAGCCGTCAACGACCTGGCCCGGGTAGTCAGTCTCGGCATTGGACCCCACTCACGCTGACAGGTGTTGGAAATTGATGATCAAATCGAATTTTTTTTATTTGACCACTCTGCAGCGGTGGTATGATGTTTCAAATATACACAGTGATGTAGAGTGATGTGCAAAAGTTTCGCGTCAGACGGGACTAGAATCCGCACCTCACTCTTTCCGTGAACGCATGCTCTATCCGTTACACTTCCGACGCCCATTTTGCACAGCACTCTTTACCTCCTTTATGTTTTCGCTGAAGCTTACTGTAAAACGAAAATTTGGCTTAATTGAGCAAAGTAACGATTTGTGATCTCCAGATCAATCATTTAATAGATGATTTACTGATAGAACCGATAAGGTTGAAGGATGACTTGACTAATAGAAGGACAAGACAAAGGTCCTTGTAGTGCAGTGAATGACACGGGAGCCCACGGAAAGTGTAATCCCAGGGTCGAATCCTTCCAGAAGTTCCTCGTCTTGCTCGAATCTCAACATTCGTGACATTCTGTTTTCACATCGAAACCTGATTCGATACTTTGATCAGTCATTTATCATTTTTATTTGTTGCAATAACGGGATAAACTTGGGCAAAAACGAACGAGTCCAGAAAAATTCTTGCCAATCCAAATACTGGTACCAGACTTGTCGGGAGAATAGCAGCACTTACTTTTGATACGTTGGTAGGCCATCGCGGTCATTGTAAAGGCCAAATATGCATTCAGTCACCTTAAACGAAGCTAAAAACCTAGGAAGAATGCATAGCGCATCCCTTAGAGAGGATCCGTGGGAACTCTATCCTTTATCCTTTTCAACCTGTCATAAGGAATTATAGGCAGTAGACAAACGTCCAAACATTGCGAAGCTCTTGATTGTTATTTATAAGTTACTTGAAGTTATTCTCTAGCTTTTTTTGTAGTTCTTTAACTCAATTCAAATGCTACCTTTCATGGGAAGTAATATTTTAATTCCTTAGCACGCGAAGCAGTAGCAGAGTGCTCCATCTTTGTAAAGTTTATTTAGGTTATCGTGCTTTTTTGCGTAAGATGTCTCGAAAAATGAATAATTCAAGAAGATACGAAATCGATTCATAAAACGGAAATTGGAATACGCTGCACATCTCCGTCCCTTCCAAACTGCTCAAAAATGAACCCCAAAAATGTGTAAAATTTAAAAATAGAAAGAAATACCCTTAGAATGACAGAAAACGTTCGGGAAGAATTGATATAATTGACTTTTAATCTACGTGTTTGATTGACGAAATTCATCAGGAGCAAACCGTCCTATGTTTTGTTTGTGAACATGAGTGGTTTGCTCCTGATGAACTTCGTCAACCAAACACGGCGATTAAAAGTCGATCATATCGATTTTTCTCGAAGGTTTTCTCCAATGTTAAGGTTGTTTTTCTTATATTTTCAATGTGTAAACATTTTTGAAGCTGATTTTCGTATAGTTTTAAAGGAATATCAAATTATTGTGGCACAGGATTTATGTGAAACATGTTATATGAGCTTTTCCTGTGCTGTTTTCATACAAATGCTTGCTTGTTTTTACTGATCAGCGCTTGTTAAGTAAAGAGTCACTGTTTTCTAGTTCACAAAGCGCATTTCTAACTGTTTTAAGTGATGTTTTCTCCTTACAATCTCTTTAACAAATGTTGTATACGTCGAAATGCGATTTCGTTTGTTTGAAGAAAGGATTTATCTGCTTCGCGTGGTTTTATAGGCAACATCTGGGAAATTTCACAATCTATTATTGTAATTTTCGGGGGAAATCTATGTAATAGGTGATTCTCAGTGACAGTGTGAGCATAATTTCGTCGTATTCTATGCCTTGATTAGTATTCATTGTGTGACGGCGTGCTGCTAATAGTGGTTGTCGGGCTGTTGGCTTAGCCCAGGCGACACTACTGCTTCCTGCTTTAGTACTTAAGATTTTTCGTTCTGATTTCCTACACGTAGGCTCATGAAGTAGTATATGCGATCTTATGTAAAAAAATCATAATAAAGCTATGAAGGAGTAAAGCGCTGAGCGTTGATCAGTCCTCCAGGGATCCGCCTTGCATTCGATTCCATCCGTAGCTTCGTAAAGGTAGCTGGAGTCAACTGTGGCCAACTGATGTACCAAGTCAATGCTGTTATCCTTCCAGAATGATTTGGTACCAGTTTTTCGACCCCCTAGTAATGGAAGTTTTGTCAGCTCGGGATATGGTGGATAAAGGAATATTTATAATCATTTGCTCTGTTCCTAACTGAAAATAAATCACCTCTAAAGAAAAATGACTCACTTACACGAAATCATTTTATTGCACTTTTTGTCTTTTGTTTGTTTCTTTTCTGCTTTTAATCGCTTGACATACTGCATCGCTGACGTAGGGTATTCATTGCATTTTCAG